ATCGCGGGTTTATAGAAAGAAGCTATCGATGAGGTGGGGCATCAAAAAGTGGTCAAAATCATTACTGATAATGCGAGCAGTTGTAAGGCGCATAGTGAACTCATTGAAGGTTGATATCCTCATTTGTTTGGACTCCTTGTGTTGTTCACACTCTGAATCTAGCTTTGAAGAATATTTGTTCAGCTAGAAATGTGGAATCCAATCAAGAGACATATGATTTGTGTAGTTGGATCACCATTATATTGTTCATAGGATGTTGTGGAAGTCAAAAAATTTATCGTGAATCATTTGATGAGGTTGGCTGTGTACAATCGATTTGTCCCTTTAAAGTTGCTTTCAGTTGCCGACACTTGTTTTGCGTCTATTGTTGTCATGATTAAAAGATTTAAGCTTATCAAACGTGCTTTAAAATTATATGTGACGAGTAACCAATGGATAGAATACCGAGAAGATGATCAAAGCAAATCAAAATTTGTCAGGGCACAATGTTGAATGAAGAGTGGTGGAAGAAAGTTTCATATATTTTAGCCTTCATTGAACCTATATGTGAGATGATTAGAGTTTGTGACATGGATAAGCTCTTCATTGGGTTTATGAGATGTGGGATGCTATGATTGAAAAGGTGAAGAAAGATATTTATGACCATGAGAAAAAATCGATGTATGGGTTTTCTGCTTTCTTTGATGTGATCCAACAAATTCTAGTTGACGGATTGGCAGAAAACAATACTCCTCTTCATTGTCTTGCTCACTCTCTAAACACGAAGTGAGTTTTTAATTAATTATATTTGTTCATTATGTGTTATTCTACTATTTATTTTATTTTATTATTTATGACTTTTTTTTTTCTTGAAGGTATTACAGTGAAAAATGGATTTTGGAGGGACAATATATGGATTGGCTCTTCATTGGATGGGAAAGTTTCATCCGAAAGAATCAAATATTTTAGAAGATTTTTTCCAACTATAGAGGAGCATACGAATGCAATTGATGAATTTGCAAATTTCTCTCTCAAGACTGGGTCATTTGGAGATCAGGATTCGATTGTGCGTAGATATGATATTGAGCCTAGGAAATGGTGGGCATGTTATGGTTCGGGTGCTCCTTTACTTCAAAAGTTGGCTTTCAAAGTGCTCGGATAACCTAGTTCTGCATCTTGTTCCGACAGGAATTGGAGTACTTATTTCTGCGTTCATTCATTTAGAAAGAATAAGTTAAATCCTAAACGTGCGGAGGATTTGTTCTTCATTCATACCAATCTTCATCTTTTGTCTAGAAATAGCACTCAATATTATGATGAGAAGACAAAAATGTGGGATTTGGGTGGAGATAATTTTGGCAATATAGAAGATGTAGGAGTTCTTGATATTGCTCAACTTTCATTGGATGAACCCAAATTGGAGGGTGTGATTATGTGGAGACTGGGAATGTGAGGGATGGTGCTTATTGAATTTTATTATGTTTTTTATTTTTTTAATTAAGACTCGAATTAAGTATTTGAATGTTGAAATTTGTAAACGTTATCTTTTTGGATTTTAGATTTTGGATTGTTCAATGTTTGATTGTTTGTTGATTAATTAATTAGTTTTTTGTTTAAGTTTTTAATGTTATATTGTTAGTTGTTAAGGTGGCGACTATATGCAATCGGAAAATTTACTTAGGGCAAGACCAAATTCAATTTTATACCAAATTAAGTGTAGAAAGACTGCAATGACCTTAGTAAAATACAAATAAAATAAAACTTAATTCTATCAATTACTCTTGCAAGACCAAATTTAAAAAAAAAGAAAAAAGAAAAAACACAATTGAAAAACGGGAGGGAAGAAAGAAGAGGACCACTTGCAGATTCACCGCCTCGCCGTCGTCGTCGCCGATGAAGTCGACCACCGCCTTGTAAAATTTCGATACACTAGTGTCAAATTTTTCACTAAATATCGACAAATAGTTGTTGTCGATTATTTGCATTTTTTTCGACATTTGGGTGTCGATATTTTGTTCAAAATTCGACATCAATGTGTCGATTTTTAGCAATTAAAACAACACGATGGCGTCGGTTTTTTCAGAAACTGATAAATTCGACTCTAGAATGTCGTTTTTATAGCTAAATATCGACCTGTAAACGTCGAATATTTGTGTACGGACAATTATTTTCGAAAAACGTGAAAAACGATCAGAAAGCTAAAAAAAAGTACAATGTTTCTTATCCCATTTTGTTCTTCGACCTTAGAATCATTCATATTGATATCTTGTGTGTCCATAATGTCCTCATTTGCATGTTTTACTAAGATTAGGGGGTTTTGTTTGATGAGGGTTTTTTGAGAATATGAAAGAGTTTTTTTGGAGAAAATGTGTAGAATGATTGTGAAGAAGAAGAGGTTGGGTTTTGATGGTGAAGAAGAATGGTCATTTTTCATATTTTTTTTAAAAAAAAAAATTTGGACTTGCAATAGCAATTAGGATTTTTTTTGGATTAATAATATCAAAATTAATATTGGGGTTATAATTGTAATTTTTAGTCTTGCTCTAAATAAATTTATCTATATTTTTTGTCTTGCATGAAATAAGATCTTGTATTTAGAAATTTTGATATTGCAAATAGGTACAGCCAATTGTTAATTGTTAATTTCATGTGGTGTTTACCTGTAAATATATGATGAACGGTTCTTTACATTCATTTATATAGAGGATTTATATTCAAACATTTCCTAATTTAGGATCTCTTTATTTGTGTAATTACATTGATTGTGTAATTAATCTTATTAATTGACATGATTTCCTTATCTATTTAGGGAGCACATCTTTCAGATCTTCTTTTCCAAGAGCTCTCATTCACCTCGTCACCTACCCCAATGATTTGCCTCTAGCATGTTCAGATGGGTCTCTAACACAACTGCTGGTTTATTAAAAGAAAAAAAAAAGAAAAAAAGAAAAGAAAAGAAAAAATAATAAATAAATCAGCGAAAAATGCTAAATGCAGGAGCAGAAATGTTGAATGCAGTTTGGCCGAAGATTGCATATAAGGGTAGTATAGTACTTTCGTCTCTCCAGGGGGTATGTCAAAGGATGATTTTGGCTTGAATTTATCCCTAATTTTTTGGTAGCTAGGGAGGGGTATGTAAAATAAGCCCTATATGTTTTTATTAAAATACTCCAACACATATGGTGGTGTAGGATCTACGCCCTCAAGACATCAATCCAAACCCTATTTCTTAATGACTGTCGGAGACACACCGGACACTGGATCTTGGACCGACGATGGTGAAATGATGAACGAAAAGAATGGATATGAGAGATAGCTTGGAAGAGAGTATAAAATCCTTTCATTGACGTTAAATCGTGCCATTAATCGGTTATTTACATTCATTTATATAGAGGATTTCTATTGAGACATTTCCTATTTTATAATGATCTCTTTATTTGTCTAATTACATTGATTGTTCAATTAGTCTTATTAATTGACATGCTTTCCTTATCTATTTAGGGAACACATTCCAGGTCTTCTTTTTAAACGGCTGTCATTCACCTCGTCGCTTATCTTAGGGCTCTGCGTTGGTTGGTTTGGTTAAAAACCAGCCATAAAACCAACCCAACCCATACAACCAACTTTGGTAAATATTGGAAACCGTTATCGACCCAATTTACATGGGTTGGGTAATGATTGAAAACCAATTTGGTGGGTTGGTTGGTGGTTTGGTTGATTGTCGTCCATCTAAATATTTTTTAACTTTTTTTAAATATTTTATTAGGTGTTGCATCGCTATATCTTTTATAAATTAAATGTGACTAGTTCAACAATATTCAAATAAAAGATTCAAAACATTACGCGCATATATATTGCAATTAAAGATAAATAGTTCAACAAATAATAATCGTCCAAATATTTAGGCTATATGTTTTAAAATTAAAATAGTTCAAATTAGATAATTAGGTTACATTTATTATTTTTAGGATTTTGGTCAACATTATATTAGACAATTTAATAAATGTGATATAAAATATAAATTTGAAATAACAAATATTAAACATTTTAATTAAAATTAATAAATAATAAATTAATAAATAAAGTTGGTTGGCCGATATTACCCAACTAACCAACTTTTTAGCATATTAGAAACCATTATCGACCCAACTATACATGGGTTGGTTGATATTATCGACCCAAATTAAATGGGTCGGTTGATGGTTTATTATCCATCACAAATTATGGGTCGAAAATGGGTTGGTTGGTGGTTAAAACCGATCCATGCACAACCCTAACTTATCTCATTGATTTGCCTCTAACATGTTCACATGGGCTCGCAAGCTTCTAAAAAAACTTTATTTTTAACTTATATTGGGTTGGTGGGCCCAGTAAATCTTTTTCGACCTATATATATATATAATTCTTATATTATTTAATATGTCCAATATTGGGAGTTTGGGCCAAGGTTGAGAAATTGATCCCATCAAAATAGAAATACATAAGGAAAATATACAAAGGAAAAAAAATGGCGATATAATTCCTACATATTCTGTACTCTGTAGACTCTCAACCCACCAGGCCACAAAGTGCTGGCTACGGTTTAGCAAGGTTTTATCTATTCTACACCCGATGAAGATTATACCGGATGATTTTTTACCGTTAATCTACACATCCAATGTGTGGTGTGGTTGTGTGTATATGAATGGTAAAGATCTACTCAGTGTATTACACCCGGTGTAGGATCTCAAAAGCCGGTTTAGCAATTTAATTTTTGAAGTGGGCCCCACCCCATAAAAGTGTGGCATTAAATTTGTCACATGTCTGCAATTGAGCGGGGATCCGAATTTGGCATTTTAACGGACCAGATGTAGTCCGTTATTGTTTTGCGTTTATTACATGTCAATCAAATTGGAGTAATCATCATCATGTACAAATTTTGACAAAAAAAGGTAAATTACAGAGGGAGATAAATGAAAAGTCAAAGGAGGACTGACTCATTTATTTTTTGGGTTTGGGTGTCGGCAAAGGAGTAAATGGAAATGATTAAAGGAAAATGAAGTGGGTGAGATTCCGCGCCAATAAATATAAATTAGGATAAACACAACTAAGTCACCATTCGGTACTTGCCATTTGTAATTGTTCATACATACACCCAACCTCCGCAAAACCCGAAACCCCGAACAGAAAAAAAAAAAACAAACCGGATCGGATCGGATTGGATCGGATCACCATTTTGTGCAATGGAAGGACTTATGAAGGGATTGATGAATGTAGCATTGGATCACATTAATCAACGTGGCGGTGGTGATGCTGATGATGATGATCGTCGAGATGAAAGGGAAGAACAACCTAGATCCAGTTGGGCTCAGGTTGGTTAGCCTTAGCTACTAGCTATTATCCCCCTCTTATTTATTTATGATATAATTGATAATATAGAATTAGAATTAGAATGAATCAAACGTATGATCTGCTAAAATTAAAATTGAACAGGTGGTGTCTGGTGAGGATGATGAAAACCATGGCGCCTCCAATTCCAACACCAATTCTAACACTAACACACAGGTTTTCTCTTCTTTCAATTGTTTGTTACACGAGTTTTCTGTTCACAAGCTTTATGTGTGTGTGTGTGTGTGTTTGTGTGTGCGTGTTTGTTTATTACAGGAAGAACGTTACGGAAGAAATGATGACAGGAAATCAGGAGGAGGATCCAGAACCCAAAAGGTCAACTCTTTTTTTTTTTTTTTTTTTTTAATGTAATCTGTTATATAGTGGTAATGTTAGTCCAACCGTAGCGTCAATCTGGATAGTTTTATCTTCGGAATTAAAATCGGAAAATTGAAATTAGCTGTATTCTTTTACGTAAAGCAAATGCTTTTCGACTTTCAAATTTTCAAATATCAGTAGTAGTAGGAAGATTCGTCTTTGAAACGAAAATGTGTGTTTGAAAATGATTATTATAAGTTGTATTTCTAATGAAAATGGGGTGAGAGAAAGGATTTTTCTTAGTTTAAAGCAAAATATTAATATAAAAAGGTGTGGTGTACGTGGGGGTGAATTACAATTTACAAATTACAAATTACAATATACAGGAGGAGGGAGATGAAAACAGTACTGATGGTTGGGAGACTGTGCAGCAGAAGAAGAAGCCTTCTAAACAGCATCACAAGGTCTCACTACATTTTCTCTTTTGTGTTTCATATAGTTCTCGCTTTCTTTAATTGAATCGAACCATTTCATTTCTTTGTTGAAGTTCCTTCGTAATCATAATTCGCATCCAAACTGGATAGTATTTGTTATTATTTTTTCTACACACCGATTCAGTGTATTTCATTGATTTGTGTGCCAAGAATTTTTTGATTGAACTTTTATCCAAGTTAGAATTGAAACGTGTCGCG